CATCCATTTTATTATTTTTTTAAACATTTCAAAGTAAATTACAGCCTTGGAAGAAGTACAGTCTGAATGCTTCTTATAAGCAAGAGTGGTGAGACGTCATCTCATGTATATTGGACATGTCATCAGGAGTGACCTGTCTCTGGAAAATGACATTATGCTTTGTAAACAAGTGGGTCAGAGAAAAAGAGGAAGACCCTTAAGGTGATGGTTTAACAGAGAGACTACAACTTGGCCTCAAATGTAGCAACTGTGAGGATGGCACAGGACCAGAGAGTGTTTGTTCTGTCAATATGAGTTGGACCCGACTCAACAGTGCCATGCAACAGCAAGAACATACTCTTTCCCCTAAGTAGTTCAGCATGCATACCATTATTGTTGTTCTTATGCATGCCATTAGCTAGTTTAATATTTGTTTATAATTTTTTTTCTGATACAAATTCACATACTGTGAAATGTACAGTATATATTTGCTGTCTTAACAAATATTTGTACTTATGGAATCCAGGCTCCCTATCCAGAACATTCCCATCACCCCAGAAAGTTCCCTCATGCTCCTTCAGAGGAAACCACTGCTTTGAATTTTCCCTACCATTAGCTTGGCATTTTAAAGTCACTCTGCAGCTAGCTCTCTTCTGGATGCTCTATGATTAGTTTTCTCTCCTGATTTTACTTATTTTTTTTCACATCATTAACCTATTTCTAGAACTTTAGATTACATTTGCCTGTCAGTAAAGGTGGTATAGATTTGATTCCCTCTTCACTCTCTACATATGAGAGGGCTTCACAAAGTTCATGGAAAATGCTGTTATCTTTTAATTCCATTTTCCATGAGCTTTTTGGTGTCGTCAAGTGCTGTCGAGTTGGTTCTGATTCATAGCCACCTGTATAGGGTTTCGGTTGGTGAGCTTGAAGCACCGACCCTGCAATTCAAACTGACCTGTGGTCCAGTGCTTATCCTACAGTGCCATACCAGGGTTCCATGAGCTTTTTAAAGACCCTCATATTGTCTAAATTCAGCTAAATTATGAAAGTTACTGACATTTAGAGTTGAAAAGGATCTTTAGAATTCATCTGGTTCAGTCTCATTTTATAGATAAGGAAACAGATTTGGAAACGCTGATGGCCTTACGCAAGTTTGCATAGTTGAGTCATCATGATTCCTAGCTATGATCCTTTGTTCTTTCTTCAGTATTCTTATTATCAACTCTTCCTTTCTTCTCAATCAAATCCCTTTCCAAACTAATAGCCTGTGTGAGTATCCTAGCCTGGGATAAGAAACTAGGGAAAACCCCTTCATATTTTTTTAGTTTATCAGCCCAGCCATTTCAAACCTCAATTTGACTTTGCTCTTAGAAGTACCTTAGGGAAATTGGATCCTGATTTTTCATTTGGTACTGGTTGAGGACTCCAGGGATTAGAGTGTGAGCAGGTCTGTGTAATCACCTAGTTTTGTTCTCATTTTCAGGCCCTAAAATGTCAGCAGTTCTGAGCACAATTCATTTTCCCATTTTTGGTTTTTCCAAATATTATTCCTCTTTATTGTTCTTTTCAATTTCTCTTATAGTCCAGCTTGTAAATAGTTATCACCTTGGGTGTTTGTGCTCTGCAATCTTGCCCTATGTATTTGCTAAGTGTAATAGTAGAGAAAACAAAATAAAAGAATCATGCACATGATCGCCCTGTGTGCTCTTTTTTTTTTTTTTCTCCTCAGATGTAGGTTTTTTAAGTTTTTATTGTGAATTGAGTGAAAGTTTACAGGGCAGATCATCAGTTTTATATTCAACAAATCATATATTTTGTTTCATTACAAGGATTATAATCCCCACCATGTACTATCAGTTAACAGTATTTCTCTGTATTCATTTTAGATTTTTTTTTTTTGAATGTTTTATTGTGAATTATGTGATAGTTTACATGGGAGAACATTAACTTTACATTCATTCTATGGTATATCGTTACATTGCCATGGTTACAATCCCTTCCATGCATCATCAACCAACCAATGGGTATACACAGCAAACCTGCCCCCTGGTTGTAAGCACACAGCCCCTAACCCTCTCTGGGTCCAGAGTCCCCAGCTGCTCCATCTCTCCACATCATCATCTCTGCCTCCATCTCTGGCATTGCTACTTCTCTGGACAGGGTCCCACACTCCACTCCTCTCCCTTTATAGTCCCAGGACCCTCTGCTCCTAGATTGCAAAGTTAACCACTCCCCTGTTTTTGCTACAAAACATCTACCTTTACATTTCCAACCTGACAGTCAGTCCCTATAGCAATTATTCACTATCAGTCAGTCCCTATAGCAATTATTCACTATTGTACCACAAGAGACCTATCCCCATCTCCGTTCATCAGCCCTACCCAGACAGATTGGATACTACTCAGTGGAGACTCTACCTTCCTCTGTGCCCTCTGGATCTAGGATTCCTCTTGAAAAATTGTAAGCCAGTCACTTCTTGCCTTTGTAGCTCCACCCCCCCACCCCCCATTTTGGGTAGCCAGTGTCCAGGTTGCCCATCCCTGTCTATTCTGTGTATGGAGGAGGTGGGAATGATCCTCGCTGTAAAGATTTGTTCACTCTTTTGAGCTACTGCATCCATAGGTATAGGTCAAGTTCATCAAATTGTTTTAGATTACTCTTTTTTTCCTCTTCTTTCTTCTAGTTGAGTTCTGATCATCCAGTCATTGAAGCCGCCAGGTCAAGTGGGTATTATCTGTAAGTGTAGGTGTTCTTATGCATATGCACTCTTTTCTTATCAGCTGGATGCTTCATTCTCCACTCTAGTCCTCTGTGGCTATGTCATTGACTCTGGGCCCAGGAGTCCCCAGATCTTGCCAAACTGCTGGCCAACCAGGTCTCCACCTGGGTTCACAGGAGTCTATTGAATGTGGTTGGACTCAGCTCGCAGCTTCATTGCTGTTTTTCCCTCACTTCCCCTTATTGGTGACCAGTGTGGTCACCAGTCAGAGCACGTGTCTGCTCGTGTATTCCCACTGAGTCTTAGTCTTGGAAGGGGGTTTGCCCTGAGGGGACCCGACCACTTGCCTTGATGTCTCCTGGCCCTGTGTGCTCTTGAGATCCTTTTCTTATAAGCTAGTTGCTCACATCTCGTTTTTTCTTTGTGTTCCTCGTAGTTGGCTAGGTCTGCAGATCACAAGGCTGAGAATTCCCGTACTGTTCTCTGCACTAGAATAGCTAGTCATCTTTGAATAAAACTGAACTAGAATGTAGATATATTCTCTCAGCTTAATAAAATCTTGTTATATTTATTTGAATGTAACTGTAAACTGCTTTTTAACAACAGTTTCATTAATTCACATTTCACATACCATGCAAATTAATCTATTTAAAATATATAATTAAGTGATTTTTAGTATATGTGCAACCTTCCCCCTTAAAAATAGTACCCATTAAACAGTCATCCTACTTTCCCCCATCTCCCAACCTTGTTGTTGTTTCTAAGTGCCGTTGAGTTGGTTCCGACCCATAGTGACCCTTTTTAGAGTTTCCAAGGAGCAGCTGGTGAGTTTGAACCACCGACCTTGTGGTTCAAACTGACCTTGCAGTCCAGTGCCTTAACCCACAGTGCCACGCCAGGACTCCGTAGCCATCCTAGTGGGTGAGAAATAGTATCTCACTGTAGCTTTAATTTCTATTTCCATCTTAGCCAATGCTAAGAGTGCCATGTGTGTATCTTCTTTGGAGAAATACCTATTTAGATTCTTTCATCATTTAAACTTATTTATTATTATTATTCTTGATTTATAAGGGTACTTTACATAGGCTAGATAGAAGTCCCTTAACAGATACATGATTCCCAAATACTGTCTCCCATCCTGTGACTTATCTTCTGTTTCTTAATGGTGTTTGTCCTAGTCACCCAGTGCTGCCACAACATAAATACTCTAAGTGGATAGTTTCCTGAACAGAAATGGATTATCTCACAGTCTAGGAGGCTGGAAAGAACCTAGGGCACCAATCAGCTCCAGGGGAAGGCCCCCATCCCCTCTGAGCCTCTGCTCCTAGGCAGTCCCCAGGTGGTTGATACCTTTCTTCCCCTGTCTCTGCTTACCTGATAAGTTCTTTTTATTTTCTATAACAGAGTGACTCAAACACACTCTACACTAATCTTGAAAAAACTCATTCCCAAGTAGGATTGTAACTGTAGGCATAGAGGTTATTAGTGAGGGTTTACAGCACTTATTTTAGGGGGATACAAAATGTGTAATAGCGGTCTTAACACAAAAGTTTAAAAATTTAATTATTTTTTTCCTTTTGTTGTATTTTTGGTATCATATGTAAAAACCATTACCTAATCATAAAGATTTATGCATGTTTTATTCTAGAAGTTTTATACTTTTAGTTTGTACATTTATTGTGTGAGGTAGGGATCCAATTTGACTCTTTTACATGTGTAAATCTAATTATCCAGCAACATTTGTTGAAAACACACTTTTTTTTTCTTCTTTGAATTTGTCTTTGGCACCCTTAGTCATCAAACTCAGTTTGATATAAGTGTGTAAGGGGTTTATTTCTGGATCCTGAATTTCATCCCATTGACCTATATGCCTGCTTTGGTTTCTTCTTAAAACTCATTAATTTGAAGAGAATACTGGCAAAATATGCCTTTGTGACCCATTATTTTATAACTTGTTTCATAATTTCCTGTTTGATTTCTGTGGCTTCTCTTTTTCTATAGGGATCTTGTCATGCCATCTGGAAAGGGAATGGCTTGCGGTGGAGTCCAATGATGATGTCAGCAGATGGCGTGCCTACTTCCTAATACTGCTCTGAACACAGAGCAGGAATGCGCGTCTGTTGGCAATGATGACAATACAGTGATGAGGGAAGCTTAGGGTTCAGATTTTCTCATCAGATTTGCAATATAGTAACATGAAAAATAATGTTAGGCTTATACTTACAAATTTTTTTCTTTGAGAAATTAGTCATGTTATATCCACCAGAAAATAATTCTCTATGATTGTATATCTTTACAGAGTTCCTGAGTTGGAGGTAGAAAAAGAAACTCAAGTTCATGAGATGACCTTAGATGAGTGGAAAAATCTTCAAGAACAGAACAGACCAAAGCCTGAATTTAACATTCGGAAACCTGAATCCAGTGTTCCTTCCAGAGCAGTGGTGATTCACAAGTCAAAATATAGAGATGATGTAAGCATTACGTTTTTATCTGCCATGAATCTTTTCTTTTACATGTCGGAAACAAAATGAACCTTTCTACTTTATTTTTGAAAGTGGAACATGAGTAGTTGGCATTCTAGTTTCTACTTGAGCAAGTAGAGATGAAAAGATGATGTTTGCTTAGTTTTACCATATCTTTATTGATTTTTGGGTAAAATAATTGAAATTTGATCTTCTGACAGTGTATTTTATGCTCACTTAGAACTGTGTTGAAACTATGCAAATACTATGTGTTCATTCATTGCATTTAATTTCTGTCTCTTTAATGAGGGTTTACAAAATGTTTCCTGTATAACACATTTTCATAATTAAATTACATACATTCTAATTCTTAAGAGCATTTAGTGAGGAATTGAGAGTAGTTGATTATTTCACACTGTATTTGGGGTACTTCAGTTTGTGAAGCCATTCTCATTTTATTCAGCACCTTTGTTCTCACTGTGTAACCACAGAAAACTGCAGGACAGACGTCAGTGAGCAGCATGGCAGCAGCAACATGCGTAGGCACTGTTGAAATCACCAGCCATCCTGTGGGATTTGTAGGCCATGGATTTCCTCTTCATTGTGAGAGACTTCGTTTTCATAGTTTGCTTTTAACTCTCAATCACATTTTCCAGAGTTGTTTGTTTTTAACTCTCTATCAGATTTTCCAGAGTTGAAGGGGGTGAGGGGGATGTTTCAGGAAAAGTATTTACCAGCCTCTACTGATAGCCATCGATTCATTTAATCATCCTCTTCTAGTTACTGAACTTCAGGGTCCAGTGAAGCATTCTGATTTTAGTATTTGCATTATTGTCACAGATAATTATCCTGATGTCAGTTCCTGTTTAGAGTGTTGGTGATCAAGCCCTCCCTCTTCTGTGCTGGAGTTTATTAATTTCCATTTTTGAAGCCTGAGATTTTCTATAGAAATGGCTTGTGTAGACATAGGCTAAAGCCTTATTCCTCTGGAAACCTTGGTGAGGGGTCTTGCAAGTCCATCAGCTACTGTGCTGGTTCACTTTTGCTGTCCACTTTTCTTTGTTCTTTTTTTTTTTTTTTTTTGTCTGGGACATTGTAAATAAGGCTCTGCCTAAAGCAAATATGCAAATACATTGTCAGGATGTGAAAGTACAGCTGACATGTTGGATAAAAATAGCAACAGTTCTTCCTTAATCCACACCAGACCCATCCTCCCTGGCTCCAGAGTTCTCCTGGAATATTTGAAGCAGCTGGCTTAGCTGAGTCACTGAGTTTAGACTCAGTAAAGGACCTATCTTTGATGCTGGCTAATCTTACAACAACAACAATCTTATGGCATTGACGATTTTAGCCAGGAATTGTTCTAAAAGTGACGTGAACCAAACATTGGAGTCAGTAGTCGCTCATTCTGGGTGCCCTGGGTATGGTATTGAAGCATGAAAAGAATGCCTCTGGTCTGTCTAGAGCACTGTTGGTTGGGAAGTGCAGACCTAACGGGAACTCTGAGATGTGCTGGCCGTAAAAACGCTTTGTCCGGAGCCACACAGAAGCCAAGCTTCTGGACTATTGGCCCTCCCATCATCATTGCTGCCTTATAGCAGAAAGGCAATCTGCAGGGCCAGCTTCACCATCCACTTCCCTGCTAGTGCATACTGACAGCCAGTTGTATTTGGAACAAAGCAGTAGTTTATTTTGGGGGGGCTAATTATTTTATTTATTTTTCTACCTGAGTGCCAATGCTCCTGAATTGTTCTTCCTTCCACATTTTTTTTTTTTCTTCATTAGTCCCATCTACATAAAGCCCTTGTTTTACTTCTGTCTGAAATGAAAAGGGAGGAAGCATGTGTTCAAAGTGAATCCTATAATGAATGGATACCAAAAGGGTTTGCTGTACTAGTGAGAGTTTGATTTTAGTTTCCTGGGTGTGTTGTGGGACTGTCTGAAAAGTCACCAAACTTACTGGCACTTCCTTTTCTGCAGGAGTGTGTGGTGGTGGTTTATGTTTATCCATTATTATACTTGAAACCAAATCAAATTTGAATGAGATTTCTTTAACATAATCTCTACTACTTAACCTTTTATAATGAAATGTACTTTCAGTAAATCCAGCAGCTTTCTAGAAGCAGCGTGATTTCTGTGTGCCCCAGATATCAACTGTCTCTTGCCATTTCCATGTTTATCATAAATCATGCAATTTGAAACACATGGTATTTGTACAAACAGAATCCCTGAGTGGTGCAGTTAACATTTGTGGCTGTTAACCAAAAGGTTGGAGGTTTGAGGCACCTTGAAAGAAAGACCTGCCAATCTGTGTCTGAGAAATGTACTTACTCCCAATGGAGCACAGCCGGACTCTGACAGTGCACAGGGTCACCATGAATGAGAATTGATATGACAGTGGCAGGTTTGATTTGTGCCGTCAGCACCCATGTTAATAGGGCTGCTTCCACCAAGTTCTGTGCTAAGAAGATGATATTTCTTTATTGATCACAGTAGTTGTGAATACATAAAACAGAAAATCAGCAGACGGAAGCGAAAACTTCCATCTTAGCAAAACACTTACATCATTTAATTTTGCTTGCTCCTACTTATATCAGGCTTACCAAATGGATAGAAATTTGGCCTCACTTGAAATAATAGTAAGTTCAAAAGGCATTTGAGTTAAGATGGGACTCGCTAGAATGTGGCTGCTGAATGCACAGAATTTGCTTTAGTTAGAGCCAGCCCCTCAGAGGGGCATCTTCTCTTGCCATCCCTGGGATGGGACGAGAGCGCCTCCTCCCAGCCCTCGGTGTCCTTTTAACCCCTGGGCAGCATATTCAGTGTGACACCAGGCAGGACTGGAGTTCATGGAGGCAGCCTGTGTGTTTGTGTGTTTCAGATGGTAAAGGATGACTATGAGGATGATTCCCATGTTTTCCGGAAAGCAGCCAATGACATCACATCCCAGCTGGAGATTAATTTTGGTAACCTCCCTCGTCCTGGGCGTGGAGCCAGAGGTGGCACAAGGGGAGGCCGGGGAAGGATCAGAAGGGCAGAAAACTACGAACTCAGAACAGAAGTGGCGGTAGGTGCTTGTTTTGTAAACACTGCATGGTTTTCTGAGGGCAGTGAGAGGACGAGGAGGCCAGGACCTGCAGTCTAAATTTGAGTCTCTGGGAGTGTCTTCAGGCATCTTAGGAGGAGAAGAGCACTTTGCTGAACTGAGCTGCAGGGAGCTTCACTCACTGTGGCACGTGCTCTTACCCCACATCAGAAAAGACCTGGCTGGGGTCAAACACCATCTCTTGATGGTTGTTTACTAACTGCAGTCTGACTGTGCCCCACCCCCACCCTAGCACCCCTCCCTCTCATAGCAGCTTGAGATGTGATGCTTTTAGGGTAAAGTACATTCCTCAAGACCCTTTGTGATCAACCTCTACCCTTCCCTGCCAGAGTCCCCTTCTTACATCACCTTTCCCCACTCTTTGGTCTCTGCTTTCCTGTTTCTTCAGAGAAGTATGTGCTTGCTCAGGAGCCTTCCCCTGCCCTCTGCTACTTCACTAGAGCAAGCCTGCCTGCACTTTCTGAGGAGACATCTTTGGTCATGTTTTCCTGCAGGCCAGGTCAGGACTGGTGAGCACAGGATTTCATTCCTTGTCCTTAAAGCATTGTCTCCACTTGTAATTGTGTTCTCACTGGTCAGTGTTTGCCTACACTATAATGGACAACAAAAATCAACTTTGCTTTTGCTTATGGTTTTGCCCGGGTTCCACTCAGTAGTGCCCTCCAGCCCGGCATCTCTGCTCATCACAGAGGCGAATCTCTTCTCCCAGAGAACGTCGTCCATCCATGGCACCTGCTTTGCCGCCATATTGCACTAGATGTTCTCTATGGCCCTCACCTCCCGGGATATCTATTAATGAAATTACCATTGCAACTGTCTCTGTTTGCTTCTCTCCCTAACTCGGTGAGCTCCTGAGTAAGCAATCTGTGTCCTGGATGACAGAAGTGCCAGGGACAAAAAGAGTCCTCAGTAAAGATGTGTGGGAGGGAAGAAGGTGCGTGGACAGCTGCTGACGCTGCGTACTAGTGTAGAAACCACTCTGACCACCTCCCTGGCTCACCTGTGGGCTCCCAGTTTGCAGTGCTGGGGCAAGGACTGGAGGGCAGCTTCTCAGCAGGGACAGGTGGGTGTTCTCCCCTCCCTGTGTGGCTACACACAGCACTTGGCCTGCAGTAAGTGTGTGACCTTCCTCAGCAGAGGCCCTGTCTCTCCCATGTCTGTGCAAATGCCAGCCAACTTGGGAATGGTTGAAATGACAGTTAATTTCAAAACATTTCTCTTCATCTCTAGACACAAGATGTTGCTCCAAACCCGGATGACCCTGAAGACTTTCCCGCTCTTGTGTGAAAGAGCCTGGTTTCCCTGGCAACTTAAGATGGCATCGGCATACCTGCAGATTGTCCTTGCTGTGGGAAGAGTGTCAGACTCTTAAGAAAAATAGATGTTGCTTTTTCCCGTGTAGTGTGAATTTGTTGCACTTTTTTGGTTTGAGGGTGTAAGGCAGGGATTTCTCCAGGAACTCAAGAAGCAGGCAATTTTGTTAGGGGGTTAGTCTGGTACTTTTAAAAAAAGGTAAGTATTGAGACTACTTGTTAAGTTGTATAGATTTCTGAAGGCTGAGTCCTTCAATATTTAAAAAAAAAAAAAAAAAAGCTATAACTTAGATCAGGAATTTAAATCATTTATAGCTTAGTTGTTTCAGAGACCATATATTTTCTGTTTACTTGTCAATGTTACACTCCTCGAAGTTTCTGAATTCTGGTTTTCATTGAATCAGTAATTCTCAACAGGTATTGTACAGCCCAGCCACTGGTTACTGCACTATGACAGAATTGGAAAAAGTACTGATATTTTTAATGGTGATTATTCAACTACCTCCTGGTTTCTATGTGTATATAAATACACATAGAAACACCTTAAAGCTTAGTGTATATGTGCATAGTGTTTGGGTGGTTTCTAGGATGAATAAGTATTTAAAATCAGGTTATTTAATCTACTTACAAATGAACAGGAGTCCTGGCAAAAGTGTCACAGGATAAAGACAACATACATTTCTCCCTAGAAATTAACTGTTTAAGAATTTGACAGCTGTTTTAAATAGCAACTGTGTACAAGGGCCCCTGATATCACTCTGGACCAGACTTGTAAATAATATTTATTGAGCACCTATATGCAGTTTTTCTCACTGGGTCCTGATACCAGTTCCATAGAGTCCTTTTTGGTGAAAGATTGGGGTGGGGTCTCCCCCAAAGTGCCCCTTCTCAACAGCAGATTGAGAGGCACTTATAGAGTCCAAGCTTTGTCAGCTGAGTTCCTGGAGAATACTCCAAATGGATCTGGAACGGGCGGGGGACAGACTTTATAGAGGAAACAGGGTACTGTTACTTGTCACCAGTAATAGGCTTACGTTGGGATTTGAACCTTGGTCTCAGGAACTCTGTTTTTTCCCCAGTTGCCTACACTAGTTTCTTAACTTGAACCTAATGTGTAAATAAAGGCTGGTATTCCCTCCTAACTTCTGTATAGAAAGTGGAATCCTTTTCGTCATATCCAGGGCAGAGAGGACAATGGGGAAAGGCCACAGTGGAAAGAAGACTCTTGAGTATTAAGTAGTCGAAACTGAGCCCCTCGCCTGGTTAGTCTGTCAGTAATGTTTGCTGACTGTTTGACTCCCTCTTCCTGAAGTGAGTGCCATTGGCCAGGGAGTCACTGCTCAGCAGGTCTGACACTATCATATTAAGTCTCTTAGTCTCAGTGCTGAAGAATGGATGGCAGGTCCATTTCAAGAAAACACCATTTAGTACTGAGACTTGCATATTAGCAGCAAAACATTTTGTCCTGTTCAACTCACAGACGATCCCTGCACTGTGAGTGGTCTCGGTCATGTGGTCAGTGATGTTGAGTGCTTCAGAAGATGTCATTTTTGAGCTTTAATGGGCTTTGTTTCTTCTCCAACTGTTGCTCTCTAATTTGGTGGGGAAATGGACATCTGGTCTTCACTCTTTGCCCTTTCTAAAAGTGCTGGACTCTCCCAGTAATCTTACGGGACCCACAGCACAAGCAGAAAGGCAGCAGAGACTCATTAACGTGCTGGAGGGAAAATCAGATAAGGAGCTGTAGGAGGATTATAAGACAAGACCTTGACAATCCAGGTTCCCCAGCCAGGCTCCTTTGAGATGCCTGGGTAGAGAGAAGTGACATGAGGTGGTAGACTTGGCACCACACTCGGGCTGAAAGCACAGGAAAGTGGAGCTCAGGCTAGCTGGCTGTAAAGTCCTTCTGGACAACTCCAGGCCTGACTGACCATCTCCCACCAGGAGTTCACCTGGGTCCTAGGGACACCTGAATTGTGTTGCTAAGGCAGCTGCTGTGGGCCATGTCCCAGGGCCTAGGAGAAGCTACCTACTACAACGGACCCAGAGAGCAAGGTGAATGAACAGGAGCCAGGTCCAAGCCAGGAAAGTGTAGTCCCTGACAACGGTCGCTAGGGAGGAAGAGCAGCCCCCTGCCCACTCTAGATGAAAAGCAAACTTTCCATCTGGCTCACAAGATGCGGGCAGAGACTGGCTCCATGCGGACAACAGGGCTGATGTTTGCAGAGTGTTTGGATGGAACTGAACTGAGTGTTTTTGAGATCTGGTCCGGCTACTTTGAAGAGTCAATCCAACCTAATGTTACTAAGTGTTGGACAGCTTTCATCCCAGGCCAGGTACACTGGCAGGCACCCTCTGACCTTGTGTCGGTAGGTCTAGTTCTCCCATACCAGTCACTGTCTAGGAGAAAGCATCAGTTTTCCTGTGAAACACCACCATGCGCTGGGAAATCCTAGAGTTGGGAACTCATTAGTACAGCAAGTGACAGCACTTTAGTCTACAAATGATCGTTTCACTCAGAGGGAGGATCTTCCCCTTTTCCTTTCAGTCCTGCTGCTGTCTCTCCCTCCTAAGCTGCACCATCCTGCCTTGTGTGACCAGCTTTCCTAACCATGTCTGACACAGGTACGATGCAGCATAAAGGGGAAAGTGTGCCTGGCTGCCTTTTCCCAGGGCACCCATATTTATGTGGTAAAGGGAGAGAAGGAAAAATGCAAGTTGTGATTTTTAAAACCTTTATTGTAGAAAAGCAAAAGTGCACAACTTCTTTTGTCACTGCCACTTAAGAATCGGTTTTCCCAGCCACTCCCCAAAAGCCTGTCCCTCAAACGGACCCAGACCACTTAAACCTCATGTCTCTAAACAAGCCCAAAGATGTGTTGCTCAACACCAGGTTTTGCCCTACTTTTGATGTCAAAGTCTGAAGGGCTCTGCCCTGTAAGACGAGTACTCAATGGATACACAACTTGAGAGGCCCTGGTAGAGACGAACAGGAATGTGACTTCCTCAAGGTAACAAAACAGGAGCCTCTGGATGAGCAGCTCCCACTGGCCACAGGGTGCCCCTTCTGTCTGCCCATCACCCACAGCTGCTTGGCCACTAGGTTTCCCATTAGTCATGGGATAGGAATGCCCAAGACTAGACCACAAAGGCCTCACACCCACCCCAGCTCCACTGCCACCACAACAGGCCTCATGTACTGAGAGAAAGTAGGAACCAAACCTTTTTCAAGGATCATTTCTTTGTGAAAATGGGGTCTAATTTCAGAAGGCTAGCTTAGATAACTCTAGGAACTCAAAGTTAACTCTAAGTGGGAAATGCCTGTCAGGTGATTATGGAATGGCATCAACTTGCACATAATTCCTACAAGGGCATACTGAGAGTTCTCAAACATTGTGAAACACTGAAGGGAGAACATTGCTCTTGAACAGCCACCTCCACCCGGGTTGATGCCCTGGGCCATGTGGTACACCCGTCCAACCCTACCCCCACCTTTACTCTTGGAGGCATGCTGGGAACCACCTACACAAAGGTGTGAGTAGCCCTTGTCTCCATATGATAACTAGCAGTTGGTCTTTCATTAGATCACTATCTAATGAAAAACATTCAAAGCATCTGAGCCCTGTTTTCCGTTACTGAAATGATGCAAAATAATCAGAACTTACATGCTGGGGAAGGATGGGATGAGTGGTGGTAGGCAAAGACATGGGGAAGGTGGAGAGTGGAAGTTCCTTGCCCTTGTCCTGAAGGATGCTGTGAAAGCACTGTTGAGATGGGCCTCAGTGATAACTGACTAGGACTTCTCCCTTGGATAACTCAACAGGTGGCCCTCACACTACATCTCCAACATCATGGAGAAGTCTGAAGCCATAAGCAGGGACCCTATGTTGTGAAGTGCCGTCGAGTCAGATCTGAGTCAGCGACACTTGTATATACAGGCTTTCTGAGGAACAATAGATGGGTTTGAACAACTGACCTCCCGGTGAGTGAGCAGTTCAGTGCCTATCCTATAGCACTATGCCACGTCACCTATAGGAAGACTGGATTTGTAACACCCTGTGGTCAGTGGACAAATGAAGTGAAAATACACTCTCATTCTCATGAAAGGCTGAGACAGGGCCTAAGGAAACAGGTTTTAGTTGCAACGTGAGAGAAGTTCCGATGATAAGCACACCACTGTCCTGGAACGGATCTTCTCTGGGTGGGATCCTACTCGGTGCGGATCCCGAGCCAAACAAAAAGCCGGTCTAGAAAGGTTGCAACCCGGGACAGCAAACCATCACTGCAAAGGGAGGAGATGAAATGTTGAATTTACCAGGATGCTGTAAGATAAGTACTGGAATGCTAGCTATAAGGTCAGCAGTTCAAACCTACCTGTTGTCTTTGGAAACCCTATACACTGTCACTGTGAGTCAGCATTGACTCCACGGCACTTAATAACTCCGACAAGGAATAAGGAAGATGGTAGAAGAATTAATGCATTTGAGTTAAAGAGATGGAGAATACTGGAAGTACTACGGACTGCTAAAAGAACAAATCTGTGTTGGAAGAAGTGCACTCATTCAGAATGCTCCTTAGAAACCGGGATGGATAGACTGCATCGTACTTCGGACCTATTAGGAGGGACCAATCCCTGGAGAAGGACATCATGCTTGGTAAAGTAGAGGGTGAGTGAAAAAGAGATGGACTGGCACAGTGACAGAAGCAGTGGGCGCAAGATTAACAAAGATTGTGAGGATGGTGCAGCACTGGGCAGTGTTTCATTCTATTGTGCATGGTGTCGCTATGAATTGGAACTAACTCAATAGCACCTAACAACTCAGAGGCTCAGTAATAACCTGAGCAAAATAATATAGAGACAAAAAGACCCCAAGGTAATACACTACGAATCGGGCTGTGAACCTTAAGGTCAGCGGTTCGAAACTACCAGCCACTCCGCGGGAGAAAGATGAGGCTTTCTACTCCCGTAAAGAT